GCGAGGAGGGCGAGGGGCGGGCGAGGGGATTCCTGCCGCGTCCGGCGGGGGGGAAAAAGATGGGGGAAGGGACAGGGAGAGGAGGAGGCATGTTCACACCGCCAGCCCGCTGTTACCACAGCCTCCAGCGGAGTCGGACCCAGTCAGGAGGAGGCCAAGGGACTGGATGAGAAAGTGGCGAGAGGAACGGCTGCTCTCGTGCTTATTTTCCCGCCCCATCTCACAAGGACCAATGAGCTTCAAGCACCGCCTCCTGCTGCCGAGGCAAACGACCAATGCACTTTGAGCTCCTGCACTGATGTCCCGCCCCTTCCCTCCTGCCAGCCCCTCTGCGCGCCAGACTATCAGATCAGCCAATAGCGCGTCGAGTTGAGTGGTGGGGGGGAGGCTTGCCCCTCCCTCTGTGTGTCTTGCCCTTCCAGACTCTTTTTCTTCTTTTGGGAGAAGTGGCCAATGGGGCGTCGAGTACAGCCTCCAGACCGAGGCTGACCCCGCCCCCCAGGAACGGCCCTCCCAGATCCGTCCCCACCCCCATCCGAGTCGTTGACCTCCGTCCTGTCTGCGCACGCGCAACCTCACTCTTCTGGCCTCTCTCTGCTCTCAGCTTCGGCTGTGCTTGCGTGGCGTTTCCTCTCTGCGTGGACGCCCGCGTTTCTCCCTTTCTGCGTCTCCCCACCGTGTGATTTCCCTGTTTCCGTAACAATTCCTACCTTCTCGGGTTGCACCCCTTGCGTCCCTTTAGTTTCTGTGTCGGTTCTCATTTTCCTAACCTTGACTCTCCCTTTCTCTGGGACGCTCTGCTTACCCCTCTGCTGTTTGGGGGTCCCACTGTCTCCTGGTGCTTCACCCCCCTTCCCCGCTTTCCTCGCGTCCCGAGACGCCTCTAGCTGTTCTGTCTTTCCGGCCCCCTCCACCGTCTGTGTGCATCTCCCCTTGGATGTCACCCCCTATTGGGACTTCCCCCGGGATCATCGCCTCCTCTCCTCTGTGTCGTCCCCTTTTCTTTGTGCACCTGCCCCGTCTCCTTTCTCTCACCCTGAGATCGACTCTCCCTCCCCCCCGCCAGAACCCTGTTTTGGTGCCCTCTTCTCATTTTCCTACCCCTGCCCCCGTGCGCTCCCTGCCGTCCTCCTCTGGTCCCTGCGAGGTTCCATTCCATCAGTTGGCGCCTCCTTCTCTGTAGCGGTGGCATCCTCTCTGATTGCTCCATCCCATCTTTTTTTTTTTTTTTGCCTTTTCTTCCCCTCGAGTATTTCATTTCAGTCTTTTCCTGTTGTGTCCCCACCTGTGCTGATTGCTAGGTCCTTCGGTTCTGTGTCCCAGACAGGCGTGTCCCATCTTCACTAATTGGCCCGGTCCCTCTGGGTGATCCTTTGTCACAGCCTTCATTTCTCCTTCCTGTGTCCCATCTTTTCTGCGAGTCTTAGCCCCTTTGTTTGCCACAGATTTCTGAGTTGCAGACGTGTCTGTGGCGTTCCAGACAGAAGAGGGTGGCAGAAGTCCTAGATAAAGCTGGAAAGGTTGTTTGGGGTCACTCTGGGCTGGGGTGGGGTGGGGGGAGACTTGAAGGTCAGCTAGAGGTTGACTTGATCCTTTGGATGGCAGAGTGAGAGTAAGACACGAGAACCAGCCTTTACAGAGAGCTTAGCATTTGCTGGGCACTTTGAAGAATCTTGTTAATCTTCACAATGACCCTATTATTAATCCATTTTATATTATATGTATGTTATTCACATATAATAGTTATATATTAATCCATTTTATAAATGAGGCTCAGAGTTCAACAAATTGCACAAGATCAGATCAACTAAGGGAAAGGTAAAGATTCCAACCTTGGTCTCTCTTTGAGTCCAAAGCCTATGAACTTTGTGTTTCCTCCTACATTGTTTTAGCTATTTCCATGAATCCTCATCCCCCACTTTCATTCCCTCACCTTCCCATAGGCAGTCATTTGAAGGTGGTTAATGGGTATCTTTTGGTTTGTGTGTGTTCTCTCAAGATGCGTAGTGTTTCATGTCTGTGAGTTTCTAATTTATGCAGGTGATATAATTATTTACTATTTAAAATAATCAGCACCATACTCTTACAGTCTGTCCGGGTCCACATCATGCTGTGTGACATTCTGTGGTGTGCGCTTTCACTTGGTCTCAAGGAGGAAAGCACTCATTGCCTCAACTTCCCATCACCACAGTAATGCTGCATCCTTGCACATGTTCCTTTATAGAAGAGAAAGGGAAGTGTTATATGTACCTAGGATATACCAGAAATGGGCATTTATAAGCTTAATTTGACTACGTATTGTCAGACCATTCCCTGCAATGCTGCTTTAGGCCTGAGATAGTGGTCAGAGCTTTCAACTCCTCAGTTCCTCAGGGCCTAGTAAAGGGTCCTATTCCCTCCCACCTCCACAGACCCCATGAGCAGCAGTACACAGGGGATGGGTTCCTTCATCCTTACATTCCTGCCAACTCTTGTCTTCTCCCAGCTTTCTGATCTCGGCCAGTTGGATAGATGTACAATTCGACAGACTGCATTTCCCTGACTATGTTGGGTTTGAGCATCTCTTCTTGTGTTTGTTAGCCTTTCTGCTTTGCTCTTCTGAGGACTGCCTCTCCATAGGCTTGGCCCTGTTAGAGTTGTTCTCTCTTTCTTGTTGATTTGCAAGAGATCCTTGGCCATTCTTGTTGGCTTAAGGTTATGTATATTCTTCTTATGCCAATTTTGGCATTTAATATTATTTTAGAAATGAATCCACTCCATCTAGGTTTTCAAGTTTATAAATGTAGAGTTGTTAATAATACTTTAAAAAAATTTTTGTTTTTGTTTTTGAGATGGAATCTCACTCTGCCACTGAGGCTGGAGTGCAGTGGCTCACAATCCACCTCCTGGGCTCAGGTGGTTCTTCCACTTCAGTCTCCCAACTAACTGGGATTACAGGCACATTCCACCATGGCCAGATAATTTTTGGATTTTTTTTTGGTAGAGATAAGGTCTCACTATGTTGCCCAGGCTGGTCTTGAACTCCTGGGTTCACATCAGCCTCCCAAAGTGCTGGGATTACAGGTGTGAGTCACCACACCTAGCCCTTTATTTATTTTTATTTTTTGAGTTGGGGGGGTGTCTCACTCTGTTGTCCTGGCTGGAGTGCAGTGGCATGATATTGGTTCACTGCAACCTTGACCTCCTGAGCTCAAGTGATCCTCCTGCTTCAACTTCCCAGGTAACTGGGACTCCAGGTGTGCACCACCACACCTGGCTAATGTATTTATTGACTTTTTCTTTTTTGAAGTGACGAGGTCTCACTATGTTGTCCAGGCTGGCCTTGAACTCCTGGGCACAGGCAATCCTCTTGCCTTGGCCTCCTAAAGTGCTGGGACTACAGGGGTAAGCCACTCCATCGGTCTGTTTATTCTTTATAAACTCTCTGATGTCTGTTATGTCCCATTTTTCATTCTGTATTTTATAATGCATCTTTTCTCTTGATCAAGTTTGCCAGAGAACTCTTTTTTTTTTTCGCTTGGAGTTGACCAGACTGAAGTGCAGTGGCACACTCACGGCCACCCCAGTGTCGATCTGCTGGGTTCCAGCCATCCTTCTGCTTCAACCTTCCAAGTAGCTGGAACTACAGGCGCACTATCACGCCCAGCTAATTTTTGATTTATTGTAGAGACAAGGTCTTGCCAAGTTGTCTGGGCTGGTCTTGAACCCGTGGGCTCAGGCACTTGCCTCGGCCTTCCAAAGTGCTGGGATTACAGGCTGAGCCACCGAGCCCAGTCAACAAACTCTAATCTTTTCAAATAATGATTTTTTTTGTAATAATGTTTGCTGCTATCTCATTGATTTCTGCCTCCATTCTTATTTTCATTATTTTTTTGAGTGGGGGATTTGCTTTGCTGCTCCTTATACAACTTTTAGAGCTATTCATGAACATATTTTTCATGTTTCTTGTTTTCTGATAAATGTACTTAGAAGTATACATTTAGTTTCTTTTTTAAAAATTTATTTATTTATTATAACGATGTGGGGTATAATTCAGAGTTACATATACAAACGTTGATTATGCAGGTACCCTTGTTGATACACGTTTACTTTCAAGCCTGTAATCCCAGCACTTTGGGAGGCCAAGGTGAGGGACTACCTGAGCCCATGGGTTCGAGAACAGTCTGGGCAACTTGGCAAGACCTCATCTCTACAATAAATCAAAAAATTAGATGGGCATGGTAGTGCACGCCTGTAGTTTTGGCTACTTAGAAGGCTGAGGCGGAAGGATCACCCTGAGTCTAGGAGGTCAATGCTGGGGTGGCCTTGAGTGTGCATGCCACTGCACTCCAGCTTGGACGATGGATTGAGACTCCAACTCAAAAAAAAGTATACATTTACTTCTAAACACTACTTTAGTTGTCTCTCAAGTTTTGACCAGTAGTTTTTAAAAAACTTTTGATTTTGAAGTGATTATTGGCTTACAGGAAGTAGCAAAAATAGTACATGGAGTCCCTTGAACCCTTCTTCCAGCTTTCCCATAGGAACATCTTACATACTTGTAGCATCTGAGCAGGAAATTGATGTTCGTACAATACTTTTTTTTCTCTCTGTTTAAATTTTTATTTTTTGGTAGGGATGAGGTCTCACTATGTTGCCCAGGCTGGCTCAAACTCCTGGCCTCAAGGGATCCTCCCCCCTCAGCCTCCCAAAGTGTTGAGATTACAGGCGTGAGCCACTGGTCCAGCATCATACTGTACTCTTAATTAGACTACAGACCTTATTCAGTTTTCAGCAGATTTTACATGTACTTGTGTGTGTGTGTGAATGTGTGCGATATGCAGTAATATGTTATTTAGTAATATGTTGATTAACTTACACACACAGAGGAGTTAGAAGCATCCACTTGTTGTTCTGATGTCGTTGCTTCTGGCTGGAGAACAACAGCCTGCATAACAGCCATCCTCTGAATGAGCCAGCATCCTTTGCTCAGCACTGTGCCCCTGGCCTGACCTAAGCAGGAAAGCAAAAGTTGTGTTTTCAGAAGCTAATGTGATGGGTACAGGTTAGATTAGAGGGCAGACTATGGAAATGGGAAGACCTGTGTCCCTGAAGGTCTCAGGGAGCCTATGTTGCAGAAGCTGACAAGATCAACTTTCTGCTCCTGAAACAGTGACCCAGAGGCTGGTGGAGAAAGAATTCAGGGACTGACGGGAACTGAGCTTGGGAGCCAGACTGAAACTGATTCCAAACTGACCTCTAGCATCCAGGACCCAGACAGAGAACCATGGGACCCCAGCATTTGAGACCCTCGCAGCTACTCTGCCTCCTAGGGGCCATCTTCGCTCTGCCTTGTATGTCCTATGGGGCTGGATGCTATAAGACCCCAAAAGGTGGGAGGCTGGGCTCACATCACTGGGGGAAGGAGGACTGGATATCTAGGTTTCTTGGGGGCAGAGCTCTTGGTTGGCAGTTCAGGGGCTAAGAAGGTCGTTGAGGGGCAGGTGACTGGAAGAGCATTCTCCTTTTAGGGACTGAAGCTCTTTTGTGCTATGAAGCCCAGGCCTCAGCCTTCAGAGGTGTGACTTTCTCTAGCTGGGATTGGCTGCTGATGAGGAGCATGGTGTGTAAGCTGCCAGAGGGTTGTGAGGAGACTCTCGTGTTCATCGAGACAGGTGAAGCGGAGTGGGCTGGATACATTCTTTTTCTGACCCCAGATACACTCCCAGAGCCCAGGGATTCTGGGGTATTCCAGATATTAACTTCATTATATGTTTGGGAAATTGACAGGGCACTGGCATGTGAGGGCAGGGCCCAGCTGGTTGTGGTGTGGGCTGGATAAGAGAGCAGAATGTGGGCGGGTCCTTGGAGGAGGGGACAGTCTGAGGGAGAAGAAAAGGATGGGGCACAGAAGAGAGGAGTAGAGGGGCTCCCGCAGGGAAGGAATGAGGAGATTCAAGTGGAGACCCCAGCATCTGAGCCCTGTGCAGCTGCAGTGAATGGATATGGGGGAGGGGCAGAGCTGGTGTTGGGGCAGTGTGGGTACAGAACAAGCATGGGGTGGGGGACTCTGGGTGAGGCCACCAACACTGATCAGGGCTCTGTCATCTTTTGCTTCTCAGGGTCTAAAAGGGGAGTTGTGGGTTTCAAAGGCTGCAGTCCAGCCTTGTCTTACGCCCCGCAAATCTCCTACCTCGTTTCACCACCCGGAGTGTCCATTGCCTCCTACAGCCGCGTCTGCCGAACTTATCTCTGCAACAACCTCACCAATCTGGAGCCTTTTGTGAAACTCAAGGCCAAGACTCCTAAGTCTATAGCATCTTCTTCCCAGAGTTGCCCAATCTGTGTGGGCGAGCACTCGGAGATCTGCCTCCCAAATTTCGTCACCACTGATACTTGCCCCTATACTGCCCCCAAGTGTTACAGTTCCACGTTAAAATTTCGGGCAGGTGAGAGGAAAGGACTGCAGTTTGTCAGATGCCTACCCTATGCCGGGTGCTGTCTAGTGCCTTCATGTCTCTAAGAGAGGCTGGTGGCATCAGGATGGTACTGGGGTTGCAGGGACCAGGCACATGAATTCCATGGAGGACAGGGGAAAGTGCCTGGTGGGAGAGCAGGTGTCCTGGGAAGAGGGCAGGGCTCCTGAGTCTTGAAAGTGTCCCTGACTCCTCCATCTCTTCCTTGCAGGGTCTCTCAACACCACCTTTCTCCTCATGGGTTGTGCTCGGAAATATCAACATCTTTTAGCAAATTTTCACAATATTGGGAGCATCAAAGTGACTGAGCAGCTCAACGTCTTAGAGAGGTCCCAGATGGCTGATGCCAGGCCCTCCAGGCAGAGTCCTGCTTGGAGCATTCCCCTAGGCCTCCTGCTTGCCTTCAGAGACTGACCATCTAGCTGGACCAGACAACCCCCATACCTCTTCCTATAGAAAATAAAGTAGTAGAGTTGTCTTTCTGCTTTGTCCTGTAGTTCATGAGAGTGTGGGGACCTGGAAGGTGGGGGGTGTGTGTGCCCAAAAGTGTCCAGGGAGGTGAGGGGACCCAAGAGGAGAGGAGCCTAGCAGTGACAAGTGTCCTGCTCAGCAACCGAGATATTTCTTTTCTCCTTCCTCTTCTGTAGGCTTGAGCTCTAGCCTGGGTTCAGCCACTGACTGATGAGACCCTGGACATCTCTCCCATTTTCTCAACCTCAGTTTCCCACTCTTTTCTAGAAAGAATCTTATGAGTTAGAGCTGAGTCTTGTCAGGGCAACTTTTTATTTTTTGAGATGAGATCTTGCTATGTCCCTAGGCTGATCTTGAACTCCTGGCCTCAAGCAGTCCTCTCATCTCAGCCTCCTCAGTAGCTGGGATTTCAGGCACAAGCCTCCATGCCTGGCCATCATGGCAATTTTTAACTGATCACTTATTGAATGTCTACTATGTATGCATCAGATACTGTTCTAGTATCTGTGCTAGTGTTGTACATACAGAATCTCATTTAATCTTCTCAAGACCTCAGAGAGGTAGCTTTTATTCCTATTTTGCAAAGAGAGAACTGACTCTTGAAGGTTAAATTATCCACTTAAAGTGGCATCTCCCTTGCCTCTCCAGCAGATCTGGGTCCTTGCTGAGGGAATTTCTTTGCAATTTGGAGACCTGAGCTACTTTCTTTCTGCCCAGTGGTCACTTCTTTGGTAAGTTGGCAAATGAGGAGAGGAAAGATCAGGGTGGGGTGGCTAGTTTTCAACCAAAGTTCAGGTTCCAGGCTACTAGCCAAGGAGGACAGTGTGATTCTTCTTTCTGGCCATAAGGGGGCAGCAGATACACCCACCCTGCAACTTCACGGGGGAGAGGGGGAGGTGAGAGAGGAAGGGGGATCAGAGAGAGGAGAGAGGAGAGGGCGAGAGAGCGAGAGGAGAGAGGGAGAGGAAGAAGGGGGTGGGGAATAGGGAAGGGAGAGTTTCTGTGTCAGGCCACTTATGTGTGTGTGATATCAGTTTAATTCTCTCCACTATCTTATAAGGTTAGGGAGGCAGGAACTTAGGGTACTTATACAGTGGGTGTATCTGCTGCC